CATTATGAAAAAAATCACCAACAGGGTGTTTGTGTAAATAGAAGCAGGTCGTTGCATTTACCAAAGTTGAGTAAAAGATAGAGATGGGCTTTGGATAAACAACAAAGTTGCATCATTAAGTTATGTCAGGGATGGAGAACCTGAGGCTCTCCTTATGTTGGACGCCCAACTCCCATCACCCCCAGCTGCCTTGGTTATTGATCAGGGATTATGCGAGTTGTAACCTGACAAAATCTGGAGCACCACAGATCCCCCACCCCAGAGTTGTGTTTCTTTTTACATCTGTTGTAAAATTGGAAGATCTTTTGCAAAATGCCATGCAGGGTACATCCCCATATATTTTGAAGCTGTCTATGCTGATTGTCATGCACTTATATTTAGAAAGTTGTTGTTCTACTTCTTCATTTGTTTTTTAAATATACTTTGCACAATTATAATGCAGTCATGGGCATCGAAACGAGAGGTAACTGTCACAAAAACTTACTACTCTCTTTTTATGGTTTGTTAATTTGATTGTAAATTTCTGACTAGGATTGCCAACTGCCTAGAAACAAACCAGCCAAGCCAGGGTTTTTCCTTTTTCTCAGAACAGTGTTGATAAAGTGGGGCGGGGAAAGCTGATCTCCCCACTATTAGTTAAGCAGCACTGTGTAACCTTATTGCATAGACGGGTCACAAAAATGTAAAAGGCTCTCATTCACCACTGGAGCCCAGGAAGACAGCATTGAAGGAGCTCTCTTCACCATTGTGCTGGGAAGCTTACCTGCTTTGCCCCGGCACTGATTAGCAATCACAAAGCTATCGGTTGTGTTGGATGCAGACAGTGCATATCATGTGTATGTTATTTTCTACTTTTGTCTGTGAAACAGTTGTAGTCTCCTGTTAGACATGGATGGTAGTGCTGTAGCAGAGGAATTATAAACACAGGCACTAACTGCACATGTTACATGAGCAGAGAATTTAGACCTCATCCAGCTGAAAATTTGAGTTGGCAGTCCTATGTCTGAATGTGGATTACATGTAGCAGAATTTGAAATTGTCCTACATCGTAAATGTTTTGTTCTACCAAAATTTATAATTTTATGAAAATGTTTAGTTTTGCAAGTCAAGCTGCTGTAATTCTTTGTGCATTTTAGATACATTTCCATGTACATTCCATTTTCTAGCCTGTCATTGTTGTGCATCGGTCTCTCCTCCATCCTGTTCCTGTTTAGCATTGTCTCTAACCGATATCCTAAAACATCCCATTCACAGCTGGATTATTTCATGTGCTTTTTAAAAAAGTGCCTTGTAAAAACGCTTGCTTATGAGTTTGTCTATATTTCCTCATGGTACACCACAGCATTTCATGGCTTCTATTTCAACAGTTTTTGTATAATACTGTAGTGTTAACAGTTGTCTTATGTGGCTTAACTCAAATTCCCAACAGGACTGATGGACGACGTTGGTCACTGGCATCTCTCCCCTCTTCTGGCTATGGTACAAATACTCCAAGCTCAACTGTTTCAGTAAGTAACTATCTATAAATAAATAAATAGCTGCTGCTTGTAATATATTCTCAGATTCAGCCCTTGTAAGATTTTTAACAATAATGTAGAATTCTACTAGTATCTACAGTAGGGGTAGGGTTATAGGGAGATAGGGGGAGGCTCTATCCCAGCAATACCATCTATTAACATTTTAAAGGATTTTGATTGGATCGCCCACCCCACTATGCTTGTCAAAATATTTACTATTTTAACTTTTTCTGGCAATGAGTCCCCCCTCCTCCTTTCTCATAATTCATACAATAGATGCTGTCTGCTGAACTTGAATGAAAAAAATTAAGTGCAGTGCTTGAAAACAGTTACAGGCATGCTAGCTAATAAGTAATTGTTAAGGCAGCCTCACTGACATAATAGAGAATTTGCACTGATCCTCTGCCCAAAAATGCTATTCAAGTATTTCTAACGAATACACTTTTTTTGTTTTTGTCCCTCCTTCAACAGGCACACTGTGTGTTATAACCACTGTTGAATTCCCTTCTTTCATATAATATACAGTACAACATGATAGTATATTTTATATATGCCAGAAGGTACTTTGTATCCTCCCATAACTCATTTTCACTTTGAAATTTTTATTTAGCAGGATTCCATGCATCGCTTAGCTATAATACAAATAGTTATTTTTCCCGTTACACAGTTTGGGGCCCATTTCCATTGGAGTAAATCCATGTTCTATTGAAGCCAATCATATTCACTGCAAGATAGGTTTGGATGCCTGAATAATTACATATTCATATCTTGATAGGTACAACCTGGCTCTTCATAGTAATTTTTAAGATTAGGTGACGTTTAGATAGCTATAAGAAAATACGAACCACAGTTAATCTACTGGTAGGTTGTTAAGAGATCACAGCATAAATTGTCATATTCTGTTACTGTTTTAAACCTTCTGGAAAATAGTTTCATGTAAACTGTTATGTTGCGAAAATTAAGAAAAAGCCTTTGAACTATCTGTCATTGGGAAGATGGCTCTGAATAATAAACATAGATAAAATAAAAACTGACAAATTGCCAACTGGGCCCAGATGGCATTCGCCAGAGAGTTCTCAAAGAACTCAAATGTAAAATGGCTGATCTTCCAACAGAAATATGTAACTTGTCACTCAGATTAGCCTTCATACCAGAGGACTGGAAAGCAGCCAATATAACACCAATTTTAAAAAAGGCATCTAGGGAGATCCTGGAAATTACAGGCCAATTTGCTTAATGTCTGGCCTGGGAAAACTAGCAGAAAGTATTTTTAAAGATAAGCTAACCAAGCATATAGAAGAACAAGCCTTGCTGAAGCAGAGCTGGCATGGCTTCTGCAAGGGGAAGACCAGTTTCATGAGCCTATTAGAGTTCTTTGAGATTGTGAACAAGCTCACAGGGGTGATCCAGTTGGCATAGCATACTTGGGCTTTCAAAAAGCTTTCAATTAGGTCCCTCACCAAAGTCTCCCGAGTAAGCTTAGCAGTCATTGACTAAGAGGAGAGGTCATCTTGTGGGTAATTAGCAGAAAACAGAGAGTAGGAATAAATGGGCAGTTCTCTGAATGGAGAAAGGGGAGTCCCCCAAGGACTGGTATTGGGACTTGTGCATTTTAACTTGTTTATAAATGAATTGAAGTTAGGGGTGAACAGTGAGGTAGCCAAGCATGCTGCTGATATTGTTCGGGTTTGTTAAAGCAAAAAAGAGATTGTGAAACGCTCCAACAGAAATGAATGGACAGTAAAACGGCAAATGCAGTTCAGTGCAAACAAGTGTAAAGTGATGCAAAACATTCTAATTTCACACACACATATATATGCTCATGTAGTCTGAACTTGTAGTGACTGACCATGAATGAGACCTTGAGGTTGTAGTGGACAGCTCAATAAAGTTGTAGTTCCAGAGTGTGGCAGCTGTGAAGAAGCATTATGACAATCTCATAATGCTGTTATACAAATCTGTAGTGTGACCACAATTGAAATACTTTATACAGTTCTGGTCTCCAAACCTCAGGAAGAATATTATAGAGTGGGAAAAGATTCAGAAAAGGGCATCCAAAGTGATTGAAGAGATGGAACAATTCTCCTATGAGGAAAGGTTGTAGCATTTGGAACTTTTTAGTTTAGAGAAAATGCAAATAGGAGGTGACATGAGAAAAGCTTATCAGATTATGTATAACATGGAGGAAATAGGTAGAGAAAAATGTTTCTGCCTCCTTCTTCTTAAACCAGAACTTATGAACCTCTAGTGAAGCTGAATATTGGGAGATTCAGGACAGATAAAGGAAAGCGTTTATTCACACAGTGCACAGTTAAACTGTGGACCTATGGGCACCAACTTAGATGGCTTTAAAAGAGGATTAGATAAATTCATGGAGGAGAAGGCTATCAGTGGCTATAAGTCGTGATGGTTATGCTTTACCACTTCTGTCATAGGCAATATGCCTCTGAAAACCAGTTGCTGGCAATTGTAGGTTGGCAGAGTGCTGTTGCGCTCAGGTCCTCCTTGCAGGCTACCCACAGGGAGTGGAGGACCTTGGGGTCTCAAATTTCAGCAGCGGCCTGTGCAACCCCCAGAATTGGCGTTCCCTACCTCTCATATTCCATTCTAAATCATAGTTGTGGCATTCTCAAGGCTCCAGGCCTAGTGTGACCAAACCAGTCACACTCCCCTAAATCTGCCACAGCCTTGTGGTTGGCCACTACGTGAACAGGATGCTGGACTATAAGGGCCAATGACCTGATCCAGCATGACTCTTCTCACACTTCTTAACCAGGCATAGGCAAACTTGGTCCTTCAGATATTTTGGGACTACAATTCCCATCATCCCTGACCACTGGTCCTGTTAGCTAGGGATGATGGGAGTTGTAGTCCCAAAACATCTGGAGGGCCAAGTTTGCCTATGCCTATTCTTAACTGATCAGTCTGAAGCTGTCAGCACAAATCACTTAACTTAAGGATTGTATGTGAGCATAGGTAAGGTAAAATTAATAGAAAACTCCTTTGCTCATTGCTTTTTCATCCTAGATTTTAAACAAAGTGGATAGCATTTCAAAAGAAAATCTATTCATAGTAATATTCAAGCAAGCAACTATTTTGGTCTTCAAGATTTATACAGATGTTTGCTTTGTGAATCTGAATAATTGACTCAAAACATGCTTGGAGACTGGATAGGAAATTTCAGTAAGGCATTTCTCCAGAAAGGTGAAGTATTGCTGCCTCGGGATTTAGAAGCAGCAGCAACCTGTTAGAAGGAAACTAACTGTTCCTCCCCATCATGTGTTCCTTCTGCAAAGCAAATGTGCCTCTTTACTACACCAAAGTAAATATCCATGTAGGAAAGTGTATTAAGTGGAGTGATTCTGGAACACAGGAATATAGAAAGCTTCCTTATACCAAGCCAGTCCATCAAGCTTAGTAACGTTGACCCTCACTGACAGCAGCATTCGGAGGTTTCCAGTAGGAGTTATTCCCAGCTCTACATGGAAAACACCAGGGGTTGAACCTGGGACTTTTCATATGCAAAGGATGTGCTCTACCACTGTGCTATAAGCCTTCCTCAAAATTGCTTCTGAAAATTGCTTCTGTAACTTTCCAACGCATCATCTTGATAAGTCACCTTCTGCACCAAATTATCTTTAAAGTTGCATTACAGCACAGCAAATCAAAAAGGATAGCTGTAGTTAATGGATGATCATGTTATACTATTTTCATACATATGCTTAGCAGTTTTGTCTGTTTTAAATCCAAGGGCTGAGAGAATACGCAGGAAGGGTCCTTGAAATTGCAAGGCTGTATCTGTACAGATGCATATAAAGTGTTTGCATGATGTTATTGCTTCTATAATCTCTTTAAGGTTGCATTTTTATTTTCTGTGTTCAGAAAGTTTAGGAATAAGGAAGTTATTCTGTGTACAATCCAGACAAATGTTTAACGTGACTTTAGGGTTATGGTACGAATTTATCTTCCACATGTTTATTGCAGTCATCCTGTTCCTCCCAAGAGAAGTTGCACCAGTTACCATACCAACCAACTCCAGACGAACTACATTTTTTGTCTAAACATTTCTGTGCCACTGAAAGCATTGCCAGTGATAATAGATGTAGGACCACTCAAATGCGGCCACGATCCAGGAGCCTGAGGTGGGTTGACCTGCCAGGAAATTGAAATGATACCTTCATGTGGAAACTCATGAGAAACTATACTTTTTATGCACGTTACTATAACATTGTTTTATATTTTGTTACCTTGTTTAAAAGCATTTCTAAATCTCTTAATATTTTGGGCATTCTTCATGAATGTAAAACATGAAAAAAGTAAAGCAATACAATAAATACGGAGATTCAAAATATACAACAGGGTCCAAAATTGTGTGTCAGGGAAAGTCTGGATAAAACAGTATGGTTTTTTTGTTGTGCTTGTACTAATGTTTGAATTGCAGTAAAATATAGAGCTAATTGTGTCTTATGCTTTTTTAAAAAATGCACATTAGTTTTCAAATGGTCTTCCACTAGCCTTGCCCTTAGAAATGTAAAATCATGACCTTCACAGTTAAGTTTATAATTTTCATTTCAGTTGCTTCCTAGCTTAATAATCTTTGCAATGTTCTCAGTATATCTATTGAAATGATTGAAAATGTGCTGCATGACAACATAAATTATTCAGAATTCCTACCATCACAAAAAAGTATTTAGTTTAAATTTCTTCCTCTCCCAAAGTTCTGAGTACATTGTGGTGATTAATAAAAAAGCTACATTCACAATCTGTAGAGAATTAGACTACTTGTTGAGAAACCAAATTATAGGGTGATAGGTTTGCTCTTTTCAAGAGTTTGAAGTTCTCTTGTTCTCAGTAGAGGTGAAGCTTGTCAACAAAGAGAAAGAAATATAGGTGATCTTTTCATTTGTTCAGAACTAAATCAAAATATTTAAGGCATTAGTTTAATATAAAACTAGTGTCTCCAGAAACTACAACTTGCAGAGATTTCCTGCCTTAGCTCCATAGATTGAAATGTTACATTCTTCTGATTCCCAGTTATCTGAGAAGGATAAATTTTATTCTGAACTGTGTTGCATGTATCCTGGAGGCTGTGGTCACTCTAGATTTAATGAAACAGCAGCTCCATATGACAAAACAGTGAGTTGTAGTGTTAGTGTCGGCGTAAACAAGTCAGTCTAATGTACATATGCACTTTGCTCCTCTTGTACTACCCCCACTCCTTAATTTCCCTTAGCCATGTAGAGGCTTGAGAGGGGACAAAATGCAATAAGCAAATAGATTCTGGATGAAGTAGGAGGAGGACAGTAGCTGGTAGAACCTGTCTAGAGTGACATAGCTGGGGTGCAAGAGTCACAACTGGGTCCTGTTATTCAGAGGTCAGTAGGCTCTGTTGCATAAAATGGAATTCTCCAATAGTCAACATGTATACTTATCCTGAAATTCTGTGTCTTTTGCACAGTCCCCCCCCACCCCCAATGAAAATGCATTGCAACTACATTACATTATATTTCATTATATTACATTACATCTTACAGAATTTGGCCACAGGCCTAACAAAACAGAGCAGAGATTCTACTTTAAAGATAGTTGATGAGGATTTAGTGATATGTGTGTATTAGAACCTGTTTTCCCAGTTCATGTAAACCTGCTTTATATAGTTTTAGAACCCGCAGAAATTATTTTGATACAAGGGGCATATCAGGTGCCTAGCCTTAGGAAATACATACACGCTCGTTCTTCGTTTCTTATAAAGTAGGAAAGGTGGAAGCAGCCTTTTGCATCTGCAGTATTTAGGAATGAGTTCAAAAATATTGTGCCCCTCAGACTAGCAAATGCATCATTAATTAAGTTAGTCTTAAAATGTCACAAAGACACTGTTGATTTTGCTGCAGCAAACTAACATGCCTACACCTTTGGAAACGAGGCGTGGACTGACTCCCAGCTCTTGAAAACATTGTTTTTATCAGTTGACAAAAAAGCATGTTCAGAGGTCAAGCTGGCTGACATGGCAAGGTACAGGGGACAGGATAGAAAACCAGGTTGCAGGGTTGACTAGAATGGAGTATTGCAGAGGAAGGCATGGCATACAGACTGGAACAGTGACTAAGACCTCTTCATTCTGCCACATTTTGTTGCAGTCCCACTTGTCCTGTAGTAATAATAATACTGACTGCCTACAGAAGAGAGTACATAAATTATAGACCTCATTTTCAGTTCATTCAGTACAAGATCCAAGGGATGATTGGCTTTGCTTTACTTGCAGCCCTGGACGTTCTCCTGCCTGCTGTGACCATGAAATCATTATGATGAACCATGTATACAAAGAAAGATTCCCAAAGGTAAAGATGAATATTCACTGCATTCTAAAGCTGACTTGATAAGAAATCTGTGTTCTAAAAAAAGGTGTTCTGTTATATTTGGTATATCAGATTAATTTAAGCCAAAAATGCTATCATAAAGCAACAGTATTCTTTAAAATATTTGTCAGCTGATCTGCAGCTGATCTGTCTCAGAAACAATCATGCCAAAGTTGCATTATAGTTCTCGTCGCTTTCCAAAAAGCTTTGGTTTTATGGTAACAGTTACACACAGGGTACATAACTTTCTAGAAGGTTCTTTGGCAGTGTAAGATGCAATGACAGGACACACAGCCCAGATAATTCCTTGCAAATACATGGAATCCTGGTGGAAGCAGCATGTATAACTTTGTGGAAACAACTTTTGCAAGTGTGTGCTTTAGAAATATATGTTTATTTTTAGTGTAGATATTATTAGTATTGAATTATCAGAGTAACAGGGTTTTTTTGATTGCTGTACAATTATGAAATGGAATTCCTCTAGCATTCAGGAAGACCCATGCCTTAAATTTAAAAAGGAGGTTTTAAAAACCCGTCTTTTCTCAAAACATTTGATTTGTGCATTGGTGAGTTAACTGCATTTAACTGGAGTATGGTTGTTACTGCTTTATGCTAGTGGTTTTAATGTTGTTTGTTTCGCTGACTTGACTATGTGCTTTAAAAGGTTTTATAATGTACTACAGTCCATTTTGTGGAGGATTTCCTCTAAAGAGAGTATAAATCTCTTAGATAAATGCCAGGTCGTTTGAAAGAGGGATAAAATTTTACCTCTTTCTACAGCCCAGTTGGCACACCACATTAAACCATAGTTTAAAAGAAGCTGATTTGATGTGAATGAGCAGTGTGCTGTTGTATGCTGGTCAAAAGTTTGCAGGATACTCTTTCCCCACTCCTCCTGCACTGTAGCTAAAACAAGCTAAAGTGGTTACTTCTGGTGATTTGTTTGGAGGAAACAAACCACAAGCTCCTGCTTTGGACTACATGACAAGCCAGACTCTGGCTGGTTTTGCCCTCTGTGTGGTAGCAGCACAAACAGGAGAGGAGTGCCACAAGAAATTTGAGTAATGTGCACAAGCACATTGCTTGTTCACATTAAACCATAGTTGGTTTTAAACTATGTTTTCCTGTAATGTGGAAGCCAAGCTAGTATGTATGGCCTATATGATCACCATCTGTGGCCTTTTTAGAAATGGGCAGGATATATATTTAAATAAATTTATTAAAGATTTCCTTTGGTTACAAAAGTACATGCATTGTCTCTTTTTGATTCATTTCTTTATTCTCCTATGTGAAGGTTGTTGCCTGGTTGGTTGGTTGGTTGGTTGGTTGGTTGTAACTTGCTTTGAGTTGCCCTGGGCAAGATAAAGCAACTATCCAGTCAATCAATCAATCAATCAATCAATCAATCAATCAATCAAGTAAGTTTACAGGTTCAGTAAACTTCTATTTTGTCTTGCAGGGATTTTAATTTAAATCTTAAGTATGTTTAATAGCTTCTTGATTAAACCCATAAAACTTATTTTGATAGGCTACTGCTCAGATGGAAGAGCGACTTCAGGAGATTATCACCAACCACTCTCCTGATAACGTCCTTCCCTTGGCAGATGGAGTTCTCAGTTTCACCCACCACCAGATCATTGAGCTGGCTCGTGATTGCTTGGATAAATCTCATCAGGGCCTCATCACCTCACGATACTTCTTTGAGTTACAGCACAAATTGGATAAGCTCCTACAAGAGGTATGAACCACATAAATATGGTTTAGAAATTGCTGAGTTATGTTAGTTGAAGAAAATGCAGCTCTGGAGATAGTTATGGCAACTGACCTATAAAAATAAATACATAAGACATGTACAGCTCTTTAACTGGGTCTGGTCAGTTCAGTGACCTTCGCGGTTGTTTAAGGGACCTTAAAGCATATGACTCTATATAATTGGTTTATGAAGTATCTGAAAGCTAGCTTATTTTATCCTAGAATGTAACTTAGGCAGTACCTCTGTGCCTCAGATGAAATAGTCTTATACTCTCCTCTGTTGTAGACAAAAGGAATATTATATCCAAGTTTAATTTTGTCCAGTCTAATAATTTTCGCTAATTTTATCCAATCTAGTAATAATTGTGTGGTTAAGGAAAAGCTATACAAAAGAATGTGAATGTGAAATTCATTAGATTTGCAGAAGGCATTGATAATCTGCATTACATAT